GTAGGGGGAATAACTTGTAAAGATGAAGGTAGAGTAGCTACCTTTGGCTGTGCAGAAGAGGTAATCGACTTTGAAACATTTGGTTAAACTTGCGAAGTGTTTGTAGTATCCTCTTCATTCTGAAAATCCTCCACATGAATATCACTTTGAGTACGCTCCTTTGAATCCTCATCAACAACCGATGGTTTTGACTTCTTGGACTTAGGTTTTTGGTGTGACTTTGACTTCTTAGAAACTTGTTCATCAGTAGCCTTCTTGTAACATCCCGAAATAGCAAGAGTTGAGTGGAAGGGCTAAAAGTGTAATTTGGGAAAGAGTGACTCGGCGAGTCCATGGATGGACTCGGCGAGTAGAGTCACGACTTGGTCGCGTGTTAAATAGCTGACTCGGCGAGTCAATGAGATGGACTCGGCGAGTAGGCGCTGAGTGGAGAAAACCCTAATTCTCGGGGTTGAGCCCTATATAAAGAGCATTATGTTCCCTCCACAGCCTCTTTATCACCCCTTTGAGTCCCTGAAACCCTAAAATCGTGGAGAAGCACCATTGTTGAGTGGATTTGAGCTTGGAGAAGTAATTGTTGAAGAAAGTTTGGGAATTTGAAGGTGTGGAGCAAAGGGCTTTGCTTGGATTCGAGTTTCCTTGCAGATTGGGGCGTTCCTTTGTGGTAATATCTCGTTCTTAGGCTGTTGTTATCTTGTTTATTCATTTTGGGGTTTGAAGGAAGCTTATTTTGGGTTATGTTGGAGTCTAGAGGTTAGATCTGAGGTTGCTACCTCAGATCTGGTATGGAAGAGAGTTGGAATGCAGGAAAGTCCCTGTGTTGAGTGTTGGATGAAGCTATCTTGTCCCAAACCTTAGCCCTAATGTGCAAAATAGATCTCTTTGGATTCACGTAAAGTTTGCCACTTTAGGTGATGGGTGAGTTGTAGGAGGCTAGATCTATGTTTTGGATCAATTGCATGGTCTAGAATGCTTCTGTATGGATTCAGACCCGTGGTACTCGGCGAGTCACATGGGTGGACTCGACGAGTTGCTTGAAGACGAGCTGAGACTCGACGAGTTGGAAGAACAACTCGGCGAGTTGGATGAAGATGGCCTGGGACTCGGCGAGTTTTATGAACAACTCGGCGAGTAGATTGAAGATAGCCTTAGACTCGGCGAGTCTGTTCTTGGACTCGACGAGTCTTGTCGAAGAGTCCAAATATTTTCTAGTTGAGTCGAGAACCGGCGAGTCAAGGGATGACTCGGTGGGTTGTGTGCGAGTGGACTCAGAGTTGTTGGACTCGGCGAGTTAGGTCGCGGATTGAGTGAAGTTTTGAGTATGGGAACTCGGCGAGTCATAGGGTAGACTCGGCGAGTAGGGTCAGTCAGGGGTTGACTTTGACCTAGTAATTGACCAAGGGTTAACCAGTGGTTTCCAGGGGTATTTTGGTAATTGTTGATTATGGTTTTGAGTTCAGTGCATTGGTGGCTGTCCAGTGGTGGAGATCGTATCAGGGATCAGAGCAGCTTGGGTTATCTGTTCAGTCGGCAGTTTCGAGGTGAGTTATCCTCACTATATCTATAGGGTTTAAGGCACCAAGTTCGACCCTTTTATCGGATGGAAATCCGGGTAATTGTCTGTTGTATGATATTGCGGGATATGGGCCGGAAGGCGTTACGTTATGGGCCAGAAGGCATTACATGTTGTGGGTCAGAAGGCAATGCGATGTGGACCGGAAGGTCATGGCCTGGAAAGGCGTATATGCGTAATTATTATGTTGACTGAGTCGTAGGGTGATGTTATGCTAGTGATCGGCTAGGCTGGTATCTTGGTTAGGGTAATGATACGTTATGTGATCTGTTGATCGAGTTGCTAACTGTGAATAGTTATATGATTAAATGTTATGTGCACGGTTGTCTGGTCTGGAGTGTAACACGGTATGCATGGTTGTTCTATGTTCTTTCATGATATGTATGTTTTTTATGTTGCGGGCCGGAAGGCGATATTTTAGGGTGTCACAACCGGGAATTTTGTGTCTTGTAATAACTATACTTAAGTAAAATGTTGAACCAAAAACTCAAGAGCATGTATGATGCTTCAAAAACTTCAATCAAATACATCATACAATTACTACAAATAGTCAACAAACAATTGGAAACCCTAGAAGTTCTTGTTTAGGTCCATTTTGGACTAGGACTTCCTTATTGGACCCAAATGGACCAATAAGCTTCCAATTTGACTATCATGGGCTTAGAACCCTTAATTGGGCTCTAATTGGACCCACATTCATTTATTTCAACATTTTGGGCCATATTGGGCCTAGAATGAAATAAATTAAAAGTTTTGAACCATGATTAACCTAAACTAGCCCAACAAAGTGTTAAAATCATATTATATTTCTTTTAGGACAAACTCATCAAACCTAACTCTAAATATTGGGCTTAGGGGCATTAAAGCCCAATACTCTCTTTTCTTTCCAAAATTTCGGCCCAAGACAAGCCCAAGAGGAGAAGTTGACTATTACCATGCCACCTCATTTTTATCTCTTGGTTATCCATGCAACATGTCTCATATCTCCATGCATGTATCACTTCATATCTATTTCTCTCTCTCTTCTTGTTTCGGCCGTGAGCAACACACACACACACAAATCTCTCACAAACTCTCTCTAGATTACTCAAGAAATCATCCTCCCTCTTCATTCAAAATCTCGAAACTTTGCTTGTGCATCAAGAGGATTTCAAGAAAATATCATCACTTCTTGGTAAGTTACGCATATCTAAGGAATTTATAACTATTTTTCTCACGATTAGATCCTTTCTCTTAAACAATTTTGGTAATCACGCTCCTAGAAAACTCCTTAAACTCGAGATCTTCATCAAGGGGTGATAGGGCCAAAAATCACCAAACTTTCTTCCATCTTTTCTTCAAAAACCGAAACCACACCCTAAGGTGAGCTTCATACTCCCTATTTTTCTGTTTTATAAGTTTTATGGGGGGGGGGGGAATACAAGTGAAAGTGTAGATCTATACGTGTTTTGTATGCCTTGTATGATTTTCTATGCTTATATGTGTGTTTTTGTGTGATTATGATGTTGGATCTAGCCATAAACTCCTAAAAGTCGAGATGTATTTTATGTTGAATGATACTAGCATAAATTATATCACAACATACAAAGTATTCCAAGAAAAATAGCTAAGTGGCTTAATAACATCTTCTTTGGGCTAAAAACTCATTTTTGGACACAAAATGTTAAAAATATAAAATTAAAGGGCCAAAAATGACATATTACGAATTCTGATGGGTGAGATGAGTCAAAACAGTTTCAATATTGTATTTTCTGGAAATATACTCTTTTGGAGGATTAAAAATATAAATTTCAAGCTTAATGGGCTAAAAATGACATTTTCGGCTCAATAGGGCGCAATATGCGAAAATTTCTGTTTTGAGGGGCTGAAACTGTGTTTTTCTGTAAAACAGTGGACTATTAGTGTTCTAAGTCCTTTTCAAGGGTTAAAAATGCTTTTCATAATTAAAAAGGACCAAAGTTGCAAAAATTTTCCAATTTGGGCCAAAAATGTAAAAATTGCGAAAAAGAGGGGCTACAACCGAGAAAACTGTATTTTCAGGGACTAAAACTGTTTTCAACTAAGAATATGCTGAAAAATGTCAATTGCAATAAGTTTTGGTGTTAAAATGACAAGAAAAATGGTTTAAGGACTAAACCGGAAATTTATTTATTCCAAGGGTTGAAAAAGTAAATTTACCAAACAAAGAGGGGCTGTAAACAGAAAATTTTCAATGATAATTCAATACATCCGTTGTGATCAAATAATGGCACTACGACTATCGACGAATTTCAATACACAACAACACCAAAAATCGTTATCAAACGAATTGATTCGGTCTCGAATCAATAACAAACCCGAAACTACTAACACGACGATCACTCGATTCATACAAGTAATATTCGGGAATTCAATACACACGTGAGAGTGCACAGACGTCGACGCACCATCTTTGGGCCCCAAAGTGTAAAATCTTGTTTGGTGGGCCTAGCTAGCCCAATGACCTGATCTTTAGGCCCGAAGACTTCAACCTTACGAGTTGTTGGGTCTTACATGATCCAACACAGCGTAAAAGGACTTTCAATGGCTTTTATACTATTGGTCCCCAAGGGTCCTTTGGTACTGCTATTAAAGTCGAGAATTCACCTAATGCGAGTCGGGCCAAGGGTTCTTCGCATTCACTATAGCCTCGACCGACTAATGGGATTACTGAGATCTTCGTGCCCTCTCTTCTCCTCGGTCGTGGGGCTACACGAAGTCAGGGCGGTTGGGTTACGTGAATAGTACGGACGACACCTACGGGATCGTTAGTATAATTGTAAACTGGTCGTTTGTGTAACGCGTGTTTATAATAATTCACCATGCGTAATAATCAATGACTTCACATGCCGCGATGGTACAACAACTACATGGAATTCAAAGTGTTAGGAAAACATCAGGTTTTCCTAGGGTCTTTTTTTTATACATACAGTCTCGAAATGTACACAAGTTTAATGAACACTTTTTACAACTATAGAAACAAACAAGCATACTTATGGATCTTCACAAACTTTTTCATAAACTCTTTTAAGAAAATATCGGATTTTCTGGTAGTTTTCAAACAATACAAAACGTTGCTTTTCAAATACCGCTTATGAACTCACCAACATTTCATATGTTGACGTTTTTCAAAATACTTGTATTCTCAGGTAACAAGTAAACCGAAGGAAATGTATTCAGTGAT